CATCAGCAGCTGCAGTGTCTCTCAGCTGTATCAGTGCAGTCACTGTGACTCTGACTGACGGAGGTTTTTGTACGACTCTTTATCACTGTGTGAACACATCTTTACTGTTGATGTAGTGTTAACTCTGACAGTAATAATCTCCTGTATCTTCAGTCTGGACTCCACTGATGGTCAGAGTGAAATCACTGTTAGATCCAATGCCACTGAATCTAGATGGAGTTCCAGTGTAACGGCTTGTTGCATAATATATGAGGAGTTTAGGAGCTTCTCCAGGTTTTTGTAAGTACCAGTGTAAGTAACTACCACCATGCACTGGACTGCTGGTTTTACAGTTTATTCTGACTTCTTGTCCCTGTTGAGCTGCTGTTATTGATGGACTCTGACTTACAGTGTACTGTCCTCTACACTCTGAAAGAAAGAACAAGAATAAAATTTAAAAACAACTGTAAATTATTAATATTTTACACTTCAGAGAATGAATAATCATCGTTAAAAATGTACTAAACAAACCTTGAGCAAACAGTGTGAGAGTCCAGATGAGGATGATGATGTTGTTCATTGTTGTTGTTGTGTCTTGTGTGATGATGAAGATTGTGTTCTGTTCTGCTCTCAGTCATGAAGTGTTAAACTCACAGCACTATAAACACTCTCAGAGCACTGAAGCATGTGCTGACAATGCAAAGAAGTGGGCAGGATTTACAACAGCTTGAGCTGCTACAAGATATACTAGACTAGAGTTACAGAATATATTATTCTATCAATTCTATTGGATGAACCGACACCACTATAAGAAGAGTGTGAATTGTGAGTTTGTTCATAAAGTATCAGGACTGACTGTAAATCTCTAATCAGAGTTCATGGTGTCTCTGTCTATCATGAATCCTCGTGTGAGCCTGCAATTGTAAAATGGACAGAAAACATTCTGTTAAAAGTGGTGACAGATTAAAACTTGTTCATTTGGAGTTTTAGCTGGAGATTCACAACAAGCCCAGATACTTTTTTTTAAATATAAAAACGTAACATGAACAAATGTGTCTTGATTCTTTCGTCTGAAGCAGCAGGTTTGTCTGTGAATCATGATGATTGAGCTCATATGAACAACAGAAGAATCATTATGATAAACTACACAACATCATCCATGA